TCGATCCACACACGTAAAACAACCCCATCACATAAAATTTTTACTCATATAATTACTCGCACATTTTTATGAACCATGCTCACAATTTTTTCAGCTTTCCAGCTTTTCAAGTTGCCGAGCATGAATTCGTTAGGCCAACTTTCGTATGTTTGCACGTGAGATTTAAAGGGGAAGTGAGGTTTATTTCATACTTGCTTAATCGCTTATGGTAGAAGGAAGGCGACAGTTGATTTCATTTTATTTACCTGCACGTTGTCGCGAATCAAGTTCAGAAGATCTCATCCTTATTTAATTTAGTTGGGTTACAAAACCGTCAACGTCACACTGAACATGCCCGTAGATGAGAAGTGAGGGGGACGTAAAAGTCGTTTCCACGTACACTCGATCAAAGATGATTATGTACACAAATTTCCGCACTCTAGTTGCTTTGGCTGTGGAATTACAAATAGTCAATGTGAAATTCCACGCGTCCGTACTTGAGATGTAGAGCACATTAAAAGCTCGTTTTACATGTATGGATTTATGCGGGCAGTAAATATTTTACAATTTCCTATACAGTTTGGTTGCAGTGCCATCAATGTATCAGAACGCAGAGGCGTGCGTACAGGCCGAATTTAGTTTCTCTGAATTGTGCGTAGGCAGGATGTCCTCGAATAATTTCAGTTCCTAAAATCGTTTCGCTGTCAAAATTTTCAGTGTGCCTGAATGTGAAAATTAAGAGGATATAAACTTTCATTTACGTCCAGAGACCTATCTAAGGTTGTGAACTAAATAGCCAAAATTACATTTCAGCTTCACGGCTCTCTTAGATGTGGAAATTGAAATTTGCGGAAAGGTGGACAGTCAGACAAACACAGAGAGATTTTTCCGAAATACACATTTTTGCATTGTAAAAAAAAGCATAAAAAAGTTGACTGCTTATGTGATCGTGAAAGACGCCTACAGGATCTTGCCCAGTTAGAACTGATGAATGGCAAACTAGCATTTCACGCTTCTGCCCTTTCCTATCCTCCTTGAACTGTGAACCATGAAAAACCCTTAATCAGAAACATTCTCGGGATCAGACACCTACTCAATTCTCTTTCCCGCGTACATGAAATTATGAAGCTGAAGATTTACAACACTGCTGTGGTTTAGAATTAGAACAACATTATCTTCCCAGGAATATCCTGTGGTGTCGATCGAGGACTGGTTTGAACAAGATGACTGGGA